GTACAAGAGGATTGGCATAATTCCTAGTATCCTATATGACCACAGTGGGATCAAACTAGTTCTCAACAACAAAACATACTGCAGAAATCACTCAAAAACATGGAGGCTGAATACCACACCATTGAATAACAACTGGGTCACAGAAGAAATTAAGGAAAAAATTAGAAAGCTCTTACAATTCAATGAAAATTAGAATACATCACAATGGAACCTCTGGCATATAGCAAAGGCAGTACTGAGGGGAAAGTTCATAGCTCTAAGCACACACATAAAGAAAACAGAAACAGCTCAAGTAAATGACCTCATGATGCAATTAAATCTGCTAGGAAAACAAGAAAAAGTCAAATCTAAAAGTACTAGATGGAGAGAGATAGCAGAGATTAATGCAGCAATCAACAAAATAAAAACTGAAAAACTACACACAAAATCAATGAAGCAAAAAGCCATTTTATTGAAAAAATAAAATTGACAGAACCTTGTAGAATTAATTTTTTAAAAAAAGAAGACAAGAAGTTCAAATCAATAGGATCAGAGATGTCACAGGAAACATTACAACAAATATCCAAGAAATCTAAATGATTACAAAGGACTACATACTTTCAAAACCTATGCTCTCTAAAGAAAGCCTAGCAGAAATGGGTGAATTCTTAGAAACATACATACTACCTAAAATGAACCAAGATATAAACCAGCTAAACTAGCCAATAACAGGCAATGAGGTAGAAGAAGTGATCAGAAATCTTCCAACAAAGACAAGTCCAGGCTCAGATGGATTCACCACTGAATTCCGTAAGACTTTTAAAGATGAACTAGTACCAATAACTGGGGGGAGGGGGGGCGGAGGGAGGCTGGGAAGGGATGGGAAGGGTAAACAAAGGAGGCGGCTACAATGCTTGATAAGAAATGTACTCACTATCTTGCCCATGTAATTGTAACCCCTCTGTACAGTATTTTCACAATTAAAAAAAAGATATTTCAAACTCATTCTATGAAGCCCATATCACACTCATACCAAAACCAAGTAAGGAGCCAATAAAAAAGAGAACTACAGACCAATTTCTCTGATGAACACAGATGCAAAGCTCTTCAATAAAATATTAGTCAACAGAATCTAGAAACAAGTTAAAAAAAACATACATTATGGCCAGATAGACTTCATCCCACAGATGCAAGGCTGGTTTAACATACACAAATCAATAAATGTAGCTTACCATGTCAACAAAACCAAGAACAAGAACCACATGATCATCTCAATAGATGCAGAAAAAGTCTTTGACAAAATACATCTATTCAGGTTAAAAACTTTACAGAAACTAGGAATAGAAGGAACATTCCTTAAAACAATAAAGGCAGGCTGGGAAGGTGGTTCAGTGGTAGTAGAGTGCTTGACTTGCGTGCATGAGGCCCTGGGTTCGATTTCTCAGTACCACATAAGCAAAAAGAAAAAAAGCCGGAAGTGGCTCAAGTGGTAGAGCGCTAGCCTTGAGCTGAAGAGCTGAGGGACAGCGCCCAGGCCAAGAGTTCAGGCCCCACGACCCCAAAACAACAATAACAAAAAAAAAACAATAAAGGCTATATACGACAGACCAACAGCTAACATCATACTAAATTGGGAAAAATTAAAACCATTTCCCCTAAAATCAGGAACAAAGTAAGCATGCCCACTCTCTCCACACCTGTTCAATATAGTTCTGGAATTCTTAACTAGAGAAAATAAAGCAAAATAAAGCAAAAAAGGGCATAAAAGGGATCCACATAGGGAAAGAAGAAATTAAACTATCCCTATTTGCAGATGACATGATCTTATACCTAAAGAACCCAAAAAACTCCACCCCAAACTTCTAGAGCTGATCAACTACTTCAGCAAAGTAGCAGTATACAAAATTAAAACCTGCAGTAGCCTTACTGTATGCCAACAATGTACAAGCAGAAAGAGAAATCATGAAAACAACTCCATTTGCCATAGCCTCAAAAAAAAACCCACATGAAATTTCTAGGAATTAACCTAACCAAAATGTAAAAATCAGTAGCCTTTCTATGTGCCAACAATGTACAAGCAGAAAGGGAAATCATGAAAACAACCCATTTGCAATGGCCTAAAAAACACACACACACACACACAAAATTTCTTGGAATTAACCTAATTAAAGATGTAAATGATCTTTATAGTGAAACTATAAAAAAAAATCTAAACAGAGGCTGGGTGCTGGTGGCTCTAGCATGCCTAGCTACTCAGGAGGCTGAGATCCGAGGATCACAGTTCAAAGCCAGCCAGGGCAGGAAAGCCCATAAGACTCTTATCTTCAATTGACCACCAGAAAACCAGAAGTGGCGCTGTGGCTTACGTGGTAGAACACTCACCTTGAGCTGAAGAGCTGAGGGACAGCGCCCAGGCCCAGAGTTCAAGCCCCACAACCGACAAAAAAAAAAAAAATCTAAAGAAAGAAATGAAAGAGGACAGCAGGAAATGGAAAGACCTACCATGTTCATGGATAGGTAGAATCAATATTATGAAAATAGTCAAACTACCAAAAATGATATACAAATTCAATGCAATCCCCATAAAAATTCCAATGATACTCTTTACTGTAATAGAGAAAACAATACAAAAAATCATATGGAACAATAGAAGACCTAGAACAGCCAAAGCAATTCTAGGCAAACAAAAGCAATGTGGGAGGTATCACAACACCACATTTCAAACTCTACTACAGAGCCATAATAACAAAAACAGCTTGCTTGGTATTGGCACAAAAATAGATCAGAAGATCAATGGAACAGATTAGAAGATCCAGAATTAAAACCACATACTTACAGTCATCTTATATTGCACAAAAGAGCTGAAGATATACAGTGGAAAAAACAAAGTCTCGGGTTGGGAATGTGGCTTAGTGGTAGAGTGCCTGTCTAACATTCATGATTCTGCAGTACAACATAAACATAAAAAGCTGAAAGTGAGCCTGGGCTCAAGTGGTAGAGTGTTAGTCTTGAGCAAAAGAAGCTCAGGGATAGTGCCCCGGACCCTGGGTTCAAGCCCCAGGACTAGCAAAAACAAACAAGCAAGAAAACAAACAAAAAACATAGCTTCTTCAATTGGTGTTGGGAAAACTGAGCAGCCATATGCAGAAAAGTAGATCCCTGCTTGTCACCATGCATCAATATCAACTCAAAGTAGCTCAAAGACTTCTGAAACTCTGAAAGTAATGCAAGAAAGAGTATGAGAAACATTAGAATTTATAGGAAGGAACTCCCTGAATAGAGTCCCAGGGAGACAACAAATAGGAGAGAGACTCAACAAGTAGGTTTCTGCACAGCCAAGGACACAGTTGATGAACTAGAAAGATAGCCAAGGGTTGGGAATGTGGCTTTGTGGTAGAATGCTTGCCTAGTATGCATGAAGCCCTGGGTTCAATTCTTCAGTACCACATAAACAGAAAAAAAACAGAAGTGGTACTGTGGCTCAAATGGTAGAGTGCTAGCCCTGAACGTAAGAAGCTTGGGGACAGTACCCAGGCCCTGAGTTTAAGCCCTAGGACTGGCATAAAAAAAGGAAGGAAAGAAGGAAGGAAGGAAGGAAGGAGGAAAGGAGGAAAAGAAAGAAAAAGAAAGCCAGCTAACTGATTGGGAAACAATCTTTACCGGTAACATATCAGACAAAGGTCTAATATTGAATATATACAAGGAGTTAAAGAAACTAACCCCTCCCGATCTTAATAAACCATTACTAAATGGACAAGGGATCTAAGAGACTTCTCAGAAGAAGACAGTAAGAATGGCAAAGAAACACATGAGGAAATGCTCATCATCCCTGGCCATAAAGGAAATGCAAATTAAAACACCCTTGAGATTCCACCTTACCCCAGTTAGATTGGTCAACATTTTGAATTTGAACAACAAATGCTGGTAGAGATGCAGGGAAAAAAGAATCCTACTGCACTGCTGGTGGAAATGTAAACTAGTACAACCACTATGGAAAGAAGTCTGGAGGTTCCTAAAAAAACTAAACATAGACCTTCCCTACAGCCCAGCCATACCACTCCTTGACATCTACCCTGAGCGACATTAGCAAGGATATGATAAGGATACCTGCACATCTATGTTAATTGGCTATTCACAATAGCCAAGATATGGAAACAACCCAACTGGGTCAATGCCCCACAACAGATGAATGGATCCAAAAAATGTGGTACCCATCTACAATGGAATTTTACACAGCCATTAGGAAGAATAAAATATTGTCATTTGGGACATGGACAGAGAAATGGATGGAACTAGAACAAATCATGTTAAGATCAGAGACACAAATGACACATGTTCTCTCTGATATGTGGAAGTTAGATCTAAAACTCACTGGGACATGGCAAATTACACAGGATCCTAGATACTCATAGGAGAGAATGACAAAGGTGCAAAACCCAAGTGCCTCTTCTCTCTCTCTCTCTCTCTTTCTCTCTCTCTCTCTCTCTCTCTCTCACACACACACACACATATAATGTACATACTGAAATAAACTCCAATGATATGGAAACAGAGGATTTTTACTTAATTTGTTTTTTCTTTTTTTGAGGACTGTATTCTTTACCTTATATATGGTATATTCATGTGTACCTCTGTGGGAGGGTGGGGAGAGAGCACAGAATGAAAGGAACAGGTGAAGAAGTGCAGCAGTGGAGCACACTGGACATTCATGAAGGTGAACTATGCAACTTGGGGGTGGAGATGGGAGGGAGAGAATGGGAAAGAATGAGGGAACAGATGACTAACTATATGAAAGGATATATACTTATTGCCTGGCACTTGTAAATGTAACCCTGCTGTAAATCACCTCTAAGATAACAATAAAAATAAAATAAAATAAATAAACATAAGGATCCTCTTTCCCACTTGCCTCTCAATCTCAGCCTCATGGTCCATTCAGGTACCAGTGGGAGACGGTAGAGATTCAATCCCAGGAAGATGTGGGGGCAGGGAGCTGACCAAATCCAGCCCTCAGCAAAGCAAATGATGGCTGGAAGCTTAAACTAGATGAGGGAGGAGCTTGTTAGCCTGGCATGCAGAGCACTTCAGCACCTCTGGACCGTTTTCATTTGGGAAATTGCTTTGGTGGTTTTCACTTCTTTCTATTCAATGGACCAAATAGCACAGACCACCAATATATTCACCACATTGCATGATGAACTAATTTAGTCAAAATAATTGTTCTACAGGGACACAGGAATCCAACCTCAGTTCAGAAAATCCCTGCCATCTGACGTAGGAGGATTTATAGGTTTAGTGGAAATTGCTTTCTCCTGCTCGCCAGATTACATACTGCTGGTTGATTTTTTTTTCTTTTTTGCATGAGTAAACGTCCTTCTAATAAGGAACAGACCAATAATGTCTTAGGAGAGAAAAAAAAGAGCATCCATTTCCTTTCTGCGGTTTCTTGAGAGTGCTGTTTGGATTGGGAAATCCACACGGGCTGTACAGAATATGAAATTTGGTGTCTTCCTTTTGTGGTGCGGATGGGTATTGGTCGCTGAGAGCCGAATGCCCTGGCCAGGAAGAGAAGCTCAGGAGATGGGTAAGAAAGGCAGGTGAGTAGACTCTGGATGTTGGGATCCCAAGGAGACAGAGGGGTGGCGTGTCAAGCTGAGCGCAAATGAAGCATCATTTCCAGCTTAGCTGTGCTGTGTGAAGGCCTTTTCCTCTCTTTCCCTTTATGTCCTCATCTCCTTTTAAGAAGTTAGCATTATCTTTTCCTTTATAACGATCTAGGTTGAACAGTATCATCACCATATAGTCTTAAGTGCCTAATTAATTGTCCTGTGTGTAAGGTTTTTGGGGGGATGGAAAGAACGTTTGTATATTTTCTAAAAAATGAAAGAACTCAAGGACAATTCTTTGATGTCTGCACAAATCTGCCAATCCTCAAATCACTAATGGGACTTACAAATGTGAGGATGCTTTATGATTTCTGATGATTTCTGTTAGAAAGGTGGGTCTCTTTTCAATAATGAGAAATAATAATTTTTAAAAACACAACTTTTCAAGCTGTAGGGCCAGAAGGGTCATTGGATTGTCCTCTACCTGCAAGCTGGGAGGGGCCCGGGTGGAGCTAAGCAACTTAGTACGTGCTGTCTTGTTCGTACCCACCCCAGGGCGACTCCCACAGGGAGACGCTCCCCACTGGTCACCCTGCTCTAAGGCCTCACCTGGGCGGCTCTGATTGGTTAGTCTGGCCTCGAACATCTGCTTGCCTACATTGGTCAATCACTGCGACACTGGGACAAGCAAATCCAGCACTCTGCCCTTATTCATGAGGAGGGAAGGGAGTCCTTCCTGTTTAGAGAAGCAGCCTTAGTTCCAAATGCAGCTCCAGCTTTGGACGGAAACACAGTTTAGACGTGTGAGGTCACAGGAAAGCAAACCCAGCTCTGCGAAGTTGGGGGATAGAAGTTGGGGCCTGTGGGATTTGTTTCCTTCCCTCAGGGCTCTGGCCTGCTGGAGTCTGAGATAATCTTTTACTGGAGACTCCCAAACAGCTGGCTGAGCTCACAGTACTGGCTTCTGGCTGCTTCTGCAGCATCACAAATGTAGGCGCTAGCATGGTAGTGGTGGCAGTCAGTCCTGGTGCTGAAAAGTGTTGGGAAAATGGAGGAGAACGGAAAAAGAATAAGGAGCTTTTCAGTTGGGCCTACAATGGGATGTGTACAGCTGGGCTTAGGCGGATTGCCCTGCCAGTAAATCAAGCACGTTTGCACATACCTGGGATTTTGCCTGGCATCTGTTATAGGCTTGGGACAATGGGCTGGGGATCAATCCTTCATACTCTATCTTTAGCTACATAAACTGATCGGGCCAAGAAGGGAGAGGCAAGTCCTTCATATAGGATCTTTGGTTATATAAAAAGAATTGGGCTGAGAAGGAAACATGGAATTATGAGAACAAAGCAGATTCCTATCAAAAAGGACCACTTGCTCAAGGGAAGGAGGGGGGCGTGAAAGGGGAGGAAGGGAGGGAGGGAGGGGAAAAGAAAGAAAGAAAAAAAGAAAGAAAGAAGGAAGGAAAAAAGGAAGGAAGGAAGGAAAGCTCTTTAAAAGTTTAGGATACGTAAAAATGTAATTTAACTGGGATGATGGGATATTAATTGGGTCCACTTTCCCATTTGGAAAGAAATTTAACCAAATATATCTAGAGCTTTCTACATTCTATCCTATACTATAGCCCCTGGACAAATGCCAGTCAGGCTCAGGGAAAGCAAAGGGATACTACGAGGAGTCTGGAGAACCACTCTTCTGCATTCTCTCTCATGCTAAAGGTTTATATTTACTGTGAAGGCACAGAGGATCTGAATGGGTCTCAGCAGATTTCCACTTCAGAGTACTCTGTTGCTTGCACCCCGTGGTAGATGGATGGGAAGAGTGAGAGCCTGGTCTATTCCTGAGGGAGGTGACGATGATGAGAGGCTTAATGAAGTACATGCATGGTAGAAAGAGCGGAGATGGGGGAAGATGGAGTTGAGAACGTTGGGAGAGCTTGGAGGGCCAGGGTTTGGTTGGCTTCTGGGTAAGAAAGCAGTGTTTGTTTTTTTTTTATTATGAAAATACTGTACAGAGGGATTATAATTACATGGGCAAGATAATGAGTACATTTCTTATCAAGCATTGTAGCCTCCTCCTTTGTTTCCCCTTCCCATCCCTTCCCATTCTGCCTCCACCACCCTCCCCGCACCAAAGGTGTAAAGTTCGTTTTCCACATAGCTACTTGTACATTTCATTGTTGCAATGGGTCCACCTGTATCCCTATTTAAACGATTTTTTTCCCTTCCCCTCCACAAATTATACCGGCATCAAATACAGTGAAGAAAGCAGTTTTAAGTGAGTATCTAGCAGATGTTTGGACTGTGTGGGGACAGGAGAACAGGAGAGTAGGTTCAAGAAATAGAATAGGGGCTGGGAAGGTGGATCAGTGGTACAATGCTTGCCTTGCATGCATGAGGTCCTGGGTTCTATTCCTTAGCACCACATAAGCAGAAAAAGCCGGAAGTAGCACTGTGGCTTAATTGATAGAGTGCTAGCCTTGAGCTGAAGAGCTAAGGGACAGCGCCCAGGCCCAGAGTTCAAGCTCCACGACTGACCAAAAAAATAAAATAAAGAATATATGGACCTGGATGCATTCACAAGATACATGGAACTCCGTGCCCAGGCACAGCAGAAAATGTAAATCAGGAGCTCAGGAGACTTAAAGCGAATCCTCAGAGGTAGTAGGTGAGGTACCCAGAGTGAGCACGTCACATGAAATAAGAACAGGATCAAAGACAGACCTTGGGGAAGAGTAACATTTAAGAAGTTAGAGGAGGAGGAGAGCCAGGCAAAATGACTCACAGCTATAATCACAGCTACTTGGGAGACTAGGATCAGAACGATCAAGATTTGAGGCCAGTCTGGACAAATATTTTGCCAGACTTCATCTCAACAGAAAAATCTGTCATTCCAGCTATGTGGAAAGTATAACAAGGAAGATCAGAGTATACGAAGAAGGATCGACTGGGTGCCAGCGGCTCATGCATATAATCCTAGTTACTCAGGAGACTGAGATCTGAGGACCATGGTTCAAAGTCATCCTAGGTAGGAAAGTCTGAGACTCTTAGCTCCAATTTAGCATAAAAAAAAAAAAAAAACAGCCAGAAGTTTAGCTATGGCTCAAGTGTTGAAGCATTAGCCTTGAGCAACAAAGCTCAAGCACAGGGCCTAGGCCCTGAATTCAAGCCCAGGACTAGCACACAAAAAAACAGCTGGGGGTGGAGGGTGGGGAGAGAAAAGGATCAGGTTAAGGACCTGGCAAAAAATGGGACTCTATCCCAAGTACAAAGAGGACCAAAGGATTAGCTCAAGTAGTAGAACATCTGCCTAGTAAACAGGAAGCTGTGATTAAAACTCCAGTACCGGGCTGGGAAGGTGGCTCAGTGGTAGAGCGCTTGCCTTGCATGCATGGGGCCCTGAGTTCGATTTCTCAGCACCACATAAGCAGAAAAAAAAGCCGGAAGTGGCACTGTGGCTCAAGTGGTAGAGTGCTAGCCTTGAGCTGAAGAGCTGAAGGGACAGCGCCCAGGCCCAGAGTTCAGGCTCCACAACCAGACCCAAATAAATAAATAAAAATAAATAAATAAAACTCCAGTACCTCTAAGTAAACAAGGTTAGAGGAAGAGGACTCAGTGAAAGTGAAAAACAGAGAGCAGAGAAGTGAGTGTAGAGCTGGAAAAGAAGAGAGTCAAAGAGGTGAAAACATTTCTATGCTAGTTACCAGGTGCTTATTACAGCACAGTGACTTCACCAGTGACTAAATCAGCTCGAGGCTGGGCCCAGAGAGCCTTACAAATGAGAGAGGGAGGCATTTGAGTGAAGCAGGGAGGTTTTTTTTTTAGAAGGACACGGTGGACAACAGGGGCAGGCTTACCAAAGTCAGAATTAATTAGGTCGAAGATAGAGCAACCAAGTGCCATTAATGATGTCAGCAACAGATGGACGTAGTTGGGCCTTGATGGCTCCCATTTGTAACCCTAAGCACTTGTGAGGCTGAGTTTGGAAAGATTGCTATTTGAAGCCACCCCTCTCAACAAAGAGATGGATGTGGTGGCATCTGTCTGTCATCCTAGTCATAGGAGAAGGCAGATTGCACACAGAAGAGTGGCCAGGCAGAAAGCAAGACCCTATCTCAAAAAGAACCAGCCAAAATCAGGGCTGGAGGCATGCCTTAGTAGTCGGAGTGCCATCTTAGCAAATGTGAGGACCAAAAACTAAAAATGAGAAAGAGGAGGGCCATAAGAAACCGGTGAACTGAAAGTATATTAGGTGAACATAAAAGAAACTTTAGTTAGTAGCATTTGCCTGTCACTTTGTTCTCCAGAAAATTTGCTTGGATTATTGAGGCCCCACTCTGCTTTTTGGTCTTGTCTCTGCCTACCTACTATCTAGCTCTCACCCTTATAGTTTTCTTCCTCCCTCCCTCCCTCCCTCCCTC